AACACATTTTCATTGCCTTGAAAATAGGCAGGCTCTTGTCTATATTCATTTTATTCCTCACAGATTTAGAATAGTCTGAAATTTATAATAAAAGTAGCTACACAGATAACTGGTAAAAAAGTTAAACTTATGAAACGGTTAAATTCCTGTGATATAATACAAGTTCCCTCTGAATTTATATCATATTTAGAATATGATCTTTATGGATCTAGGCCATGAGTAAAATGTATAACATGTTGTCTTTTTTATCTTAAGGAATATAAAATGTCAGAGCAAGACTTATGGCATATGTGAGGTGGATGCTATCATTTGAATCTTGAATGTTTCCCAAAGTGGCAGTTTTGGGAGGTAGTGTAAACTTTAGGGAGTTGGGCCTCATGGGAAGTATATACTTGGGGTATGTGCCTGAACAGGGTTGTGAGTCCCTGACCCACATCTCATTCTCTTCACTTCATGGTGACAAAATGAGCAGTATCATTCTCCCATGTGCCTCCACCATGAAGTAACTTCCTTGCCATAGGCCCAATTTTATGGAGCTAATCAATCATAGATGAAATCTCTACAGCTGTGAGCCCAAAATATTCATGTATTTCCTTACATTGAAGGAAATCTAATTCAGAAAATTGTTACTGAGAAATGATGCTGTTTGAGTACATCTATACCTGATGATATGAAAGAAACTTTGGAACTGGTTCATGGACAGTTTGGAAGAGTTTGGAGGAGCAGTCTAGAGAAAGCCTAGACTGCTGTAAGTGGATCTCAAGGAGCAATTTCAGAGAAGGCTCAGAAGGTCAGAATGCTAATAGAAATGTGAATAGCAAAGGCAATGATAATGAAGTAAATGACGACTCTATTGAGAATTGGACTAGTGGCTACTGTTGTTACTTTATGGCAAAGAAATTGTATAAATTTTGTCCATATACTGAGATTTTGTGGGGCTGAACTTTAAGGCAATAGACTACTTTACTTGGTGGAAGAAACTTTAAGATAGCAAAATATTAAAGCTGTGGCACAGGTATTATGGCTAGTTTAAGCTGAATTTACAGTTGAAACTAGGAGTGAAGAGCAGAGTGGAAAGATTTTGAAAATTAGCAATATGGCCAGAAAAGCACTATATGTAAAATTTCAGTCAAGGAGGGTGCAGTTTTAAGTGTAGATAAAGAAAAACCAAGTCCTTTGCATTGAGACTATAGTAAAGATGCCTTAAGAGTATCTCAGAAATCTGCAAAACCACTCACCTACAGACACTATCTGCCAAACTGCAAGGACATGTGGGCTACAACGAACAAGGTCATGGCAGAGAGGATTCCCAAGATCAAGGTCATAGAAGAGGGTATTCCTTCAAAATATGAAGCATCCATATCTTGCCACAGTGTGTGAATTATGGACATAGAATTTTATGATATAATATTTTCCCGGCAGGGTTTTAGTCTTACTTTGGGCTTATCTCTCTTTACCATTTTTTTTATACCTGTGCCTGTTTTACCATTGTATCTTGGAAGTATAAAACTTTCTTTTTGGCTTTTACAGTGGATTACAACAAGAATTTTCCCGACTTTAATAGAAGAGCATGCACTTGATCTTTTGAACAATGCTGTAACCTAATACTGGGTATATGTCCAAGATAGATGAAATCAGTACAATGAAGAGACATCTGCATTCTTTTTTGTGTGGAGGCGGGGTGGGAGAAAGAGGTACTGGGGATTGAACTCAGGGGCACTGGATCACTGGACCACTGAGCACATCCCCACTTCTATTTTGTGTTTTATTTAGAGACAGGGTCTCACTGAGTTGCTTAGTTCCTTGCTTTTGCTGAGGCTGACTTTGAACTAACAATCCTCCTGCAACAGCCTCCTGAGCTGCTGGGATTATGGATGTGCTGTACTGCACCCAGCCTGCACTCTTCACAATAGTTGAGAAGTGGAAACAGGTAAAGTATCCATCAATGGATAAATGAATTTTAAAAAGTGATACATATACATTACAGAATACTATGCAGCTATAAAAAGAATGAAATCCTGTTATCTGCAACAATGTGGATGGAACTACAGATCATCCTATTAAGTGAAATAATCTAGGCACAAAAAAACAAGTACTGATGGTTTCATTCAAATGTGGAATCTAAATAAATTTATCTTATAGAACTTGAAAGTAGAGTCATGGCCACCAGAGGCTGGAGAGTGTAGGAAAAATTAGTAAATGGATATTAAATTATAGCTAAATAGAAGAAGTTATGATGTGCAATTGTACAAGAAGATGAGTATAGTTGATGATTATGCACTTCATAATTCAAAAAGCAAAAAGCTAAAGGGGCTGGGGTTGGTCTCAGTGGTAGAGTACTCACCTAGCACATACAAGGCCCTGGTTTCAATCCTCACTATCACATAAAAATAAATAAAATAAAGGTATTGTATTGTGTTCAACTACAACTAAAAAAATAAATATTTTTTAAAAACTAGGAAAAAAGGTTTCTAAATGCTTTTATCCTAAAAAAATTATAAATTTCTTTACAAATATAAAGGAGATAAATTTAATTAATTTAAACATTATAAAATATATACTTGTATCAAAAGATTACATTGTGCCCCATGAATATTTACAATTTTAAGTTTTATGTATTAGTTAAATAAAATAAGAGACTAACTACAAAGGCAAAAGATTTAAAGGACTCTTAGGAATGGACCGAATCTATTTTGAATTGATAGATATAAAACACTGGAGATCAGGGAAAGAAGGCTATAGTGTGTGTGTGTTGAAGGTCCCCTGAAGGCCTGTGTGGTAAAGGCTTGATCCCTATCATGGTACCACTAAAGGTGATGGAACCCTTAGGAGGCAGGGCCTAGTGGGAAGTCCTTAGGTCATTGGGGGTGTGTCCTTTAAGGGGATTATAGCCCTCTGGCCCACTTCCTTCTCTTTTTGCCTCTTGAATATGAAGTGAGTGATTTCACTCCACCACGACTTCCCGCAACTTGTGCTGCTTCATCCACAGGCCCAAGTCACAGGGGACAATCAGTCGTAGACTGGAACCTCCAAAACCGTGAGCCAAATAATCCCTTGTCTTCAGAAGTTAATTATCTCAAATTTTTCGTTATAGTAATAAAAAGCTAATCAACATGGGGAAAAGTAGTTAAAGTAAAGTTAAGGTACTTTTTTCAGTAATTTTATCTTTTCTATAGACTACCTTCAACAACCTTAAAATGCTAATTTAATTAACATTTTTTATCCCTAACTTCACACAGGACATCATATATTTTACTGTAGAGAATACGATGATCATTAGAATGAGGCCTCTCCTTTTAAGAATATTATGTCCTATCTAATGAACTTCTATTGTCTCCTTCCCACCCCTTTATTATGTGTTGACATCCTTACATGTCAGAGAATATTTGGCCTTTGGGTTTTCTTAGGGTTTGGCTTATTTCACTTAGCCTGATATTCTCCAGGTCCACAGGAGGATGAAGGGAGGGAGGGGGAATGGGAATAGAAAAGACAGTAGAATGGATTGGACATAACTTGCCTATGTTCATATATGAATAAAAAAACAGTAAAATATCATATCATGTACAGCCATAAGAATGGGATGCTAGTTAGAAATGGGATGCTAATTAGAATAAGTTATACTCCATGTATGTATAATATGTCAAAATACACTCGATTGCATGCATAAGGCCCTGAGTTCAATCCTCAGCACCACAAAAAATAAATAAATAAATACAAATTATAAAATATACTCTACTATCATGCATATCTTAAAAAAAACAAAAAAGAATATTATATCCTACTAGAGGAACAAGATACAAGTATTTTTAGGAGGGTGAATCAATTCTATATGCTATCTGGATAATATTGGTCACAAGTCATTATGTATTTGTCAATGCCCATAGAATGTACTGCACCAAGAGTGAATCATAATAAATTCAGAATTATGAATTTCAGATGATGATGATGTGACAATAAATGTTCATGAGTTGCAACATATGTCCCACTTTGGTGATCATGCACCAAAATGGTGCATGCAGTGGGGAGAGAGAGATACTTTCTGCTCAATTTTCTATGAACTTAAAACAGTTCTAAAAATAAAAGCCTATCCAGTATATCTATATTTATATATACATACATATGTGTATCTCTCTCTCTCTCTCTCTCTCTCTCTCTC